TAGACGCGCCGCCTGGGCTTAAGGAACTTAAGGAACTCCGAGCAAGTACAGCATATTCCACACGCAGTGCTCAAGCCTCGTCATTTTACACTGTGAATTATTCAGCCTCTGTTTGTATTTATATTTCATATATTCTGCCTGCTCCTCTGATTAGCATACCCCAAATCTGCAGTGCGTCAAAATGCTGAAATTAAAACAACAACAGAAAAGGAAATACAAAAGCAAACAGTGAAAATGAAAGCCTTGGTTCTATTAATATCGAGACCTAATTTAAGACAAAAAATAGTTTAAGACTTTCACACTTGAGCTGTCGAGAGGGTTGTCTTTGCTTTGGTAGTACGAAGTTAATATTTGTGGGAATGGCTGAAATAAATGGACAACTGTTTTTCAACCTTATTTACCTCATTTTCTTACTCTTTTAACCCACTGACGCCTCTGTTTCATCTTTCCCCAAGAAACCTGGGTTTTGTTGGGAGGGATTCTGCAAATGACTCATCACTTTATGCTTTGATTTATTATGTGCCTATAAAATACACTTGGTGCCTTCATGATTTTGTTAGTTCGATTTAGATTATAGAAAAATGTCAGGCTAAGAGGGGGCTGGGAAGCGATGGACACACTCATGGTGTCGCTTTAAATATTACCTCATCTCTGCTGTGGGAAAAAGAGATTTTAGTTTCACAGTGGAGTGACGGAGACGATGACAGGCTTTTTATTTGTAAAGGATTTTTTTAAAAAAAAAATCGAGATCTGTGTAGTTTGGGATAGATAGAAGTCACATTAAGCCTTGTCTGCACGAAGGCCTGCTGTCCCCATCTCAGCAGGCGGGATCTGTGGGGCTCGCTTGGCTTATTGGTGGTCTCTTCCTCTATGAGCGGGTCTCCTTTAAACAGTGACACAGGCAAATATTAACTGCTTTTTTAAAGGAGAGGCTCTGCATTGGTGCCTCCTAGAACCAGTGCAGAAAAAGGACCTTCCACAGTCTGCTCTCCCATCTCAAGTCACTGACACAACCCCACGAGTCGTAGCCCACCGGCTTTGCAGACAAGTCAGATGAAAGAAAATTCCAAGCGTTAGATGATGCCAGTGGACCTCTTACATGAGAAAGTGACTTTATTTAATAATGGAGGAAATGATAACCAAGAGACCGTTGATTATCTAGGTTAGAAATAAGAACTGATTGGAAGGAGTGTTTTCCTTCCAGTGCTGGGGATTGGGCTGAGTAGTCCATGTTAGGCAAATGTTCTGCCGCTGAGCTATATCCTCAGCAAGCTGGATCTTTGAATGGAAAGCTACATTGACTTTGTTAGTGGAATGTGAGGCCCATACTGCTCACCACACAGCTGAAAACCCAGGAAACAAATTCATAGAAGGGAACAGGCTCGTTCAAAGCCCATTCTAAAGGAGACAGAGGCAACTCTCAATCTCAGATGTCCGCCTCTAGGTGTTTAAGGGGCAGAGAGCTTTTATGGGATTAAAAGGGGGGTTATGAACAGACAGTGGGCAAAAGAGCCCATGTGCTGGCCAGTGTCTTGTGTCTTCTGTCTTCTTTGGCAGGGCGAACCTCACCATGGACTGTTCTCTGTTCTGATCAGCCAGAACTTGAGGAAGGGCTTTCCTTCCTTCCCTAAAAGGATTCGGAAGAGGGAAGGTAGAAGAAGAAGAGGAGCACTAGATTTCTTTTTAATTTTAAAGATTGTTTTGTTTTATGTGTAGGAGTGTCTGCCTTCATGTGTGTATATGCTCCATGTGTGTGCAGTGTCTGCAGAGGCCAGAAGAGGGCATTGGATCACCCTGGAAACTGGAGTTAGAGATGATTGTGAGCTGCCAAGTGGGTGCTGGGAATTCAGCCTGGGTCTCTGCAAGAACAGCCAGTGCTGAGCCGTCTCTCCACCTTTCCCACACTATCCATCCATCCATCATTTATCTATCTATCTATCTATCTATCTATCTATCTATCTATCTATCTATCTATCATCTATCCACCCACCCATCCATCCATCCACCCATCCATCCACCCATCCATCCAGGATCTCCCTATGTATCCCTGGCTGGCCTCGAACTCTCTGTGTAGATCATATTGACCTTGATCTTGCAGAGATCTGCTCGAGTGCTGAGATTGAGGGTGTATGCCGTCACACCCCCAGCCACGGACAGTTTTAAATGAACTGCTGGAGGCTGACCGCAGTTTCTCTGGTCTGTAAGTTCTCAGCATGTTCAGTTCCTAGAGTCCTACGGTGCCAAGTGATGCTAACATGTGACCATGCCTGATGGCTGTTTGTTTCTTCAGTGATATTAGAGGTTAAACCCATAACCTTGTAGATGCAAAGCACATACCCCCCCACTGTGCTGTAATCCCAGCGTCTACATTTACTAAATAATTCTGGTTTTGGTATCTCTTCTCCTTGAGGGTTTGATTAATTAAAATATTTAATTTTCTTTTAATTATGTATATGTACATTTAAAATTTGTCTGCGTGTGAGTTTGTGCATACGTGAGTGCAGGTGCCAGTGGGGACCAGAAGAGGGCGTCAGATCCCTTGAAGCTGGAGTAACAGGTGGTTGTGAGCCACCTGACATGCATGCTGGGAATCATGTCCTCTTTAAGAACAGTAAATGCTCTTACCTGGTGACCCATCTCTCCAGTCTCAGAGTCTCTTGGGAGCAAATGAAATAAGACAAACCCAAAATATTAAGTACTCAGAAATAGGATTTAAATGGTATTTGGGTTAAATCTCTGCTTTAACAATTTGGGCCTTGACTCACATGCACGTGCGTGCGTGTGTGCGTGTGTGCGTGTGTGCGTGCGTGCGTGCGTGCGTGTGTGTGTGTGTGTGTGTGTGTGTGTGTCTGGTGGCTTGAATAAAATGTCCCCTATAGTCTCAGGCATTTGGTCCCGTGTTGGAAGCGCTGTTTGAGAGGCTTAGGAGGTGTGGCCTTGCTGGAGGAAGTGTGTCACTAGAGGTGGGCTTCAGGAGTTTTCAGTCTCTCACCGTGTGAGTTCCTGTCTGCCCGCGGTTCATGAGGTGAGTCCTCAGCATCCTGCTCCAGCCCCCGTGGGTGTTCATCCTCCATGCTGGACTCTCCTCCCTCTGGAACCAGAAGCCCCAAACAAACCCTTCTGTAAGTTGCCGTGGTCATGGCATTTTATCAGAGCAAAAGAAGAATAACTAGCACTGTGTGCCAGTATGTGCATGGGAAGGTGCATGTATGTGTGTAAGCGTGAATAGATCATATCGTGGTGAAAATAATTGGGAGTGGGCAATGATCTCTCTTCTACTGGATTAGATAGGCGCCGCCTGGCAAGGTAGCCTCTCACTACATACGTCCATACATACATACACACACACATGATTCCCAGCATGCATGTCGGAGGCTCACAACCACCTGTCACTCCGGCTTCAAGGGATCTGACGCCCTCTTCTGGTCCCCACTGGCACCTGCACTCACGTGTGCACAAACCCACACTCAGACACAAACAGATACACATAATTAAAAGAAAATTAGATATTTTAATAATTAATTAATCAAGCCCTCAAGGAGAGGAGAGACCCAAACCAGAATCATTTAGTCGATGTAGATGCTGGGATTACAGCACCATGGGGAGACCCCGTGTCTCAGTGTTACTGAGCTAGGTCGGCGTGCTGTTTGTTAGTCAATACGGTTATATTCCTGTCTGTGTGGAGTTTGTAATCAGAGCCTATTAGGAACGGTCCCCAGATATGTATTTCCCGTTGGCGCTGAGTTCTGCATGAATGATGGGCTGGGTGGGGGACTGGGGCGGGTGTACCGAGTGCGCAGTCGCAGGACCGCGCTCGCTGTCGGCCCTAATCCACATCCCACACACTGCGGCTCCCTGGGCTTGCGCTTCCGTTTCAACTCTGCCTTTTGAAATGTCATTCTGGAAATGGAAGCGATTAAACCGTGTTAGTCATTTACTTTTTAGTGTGACCGCGTCTTAGATTATTTCCTTTGAGCAAATGTTAACGGGTGGTGTGAGGCAGTGGATGTCTGGGGAGGTGGTGGGGAGGGGACGGGGTAGCTAGAGGGATCTGAGCGGTTGGGTTGTCTCCAGCTGGTACAGTGGCATTCCCCAAGGACCCTCCCATGATGCTTCCTAAGCTGCATTATTGCCTTGGTGTCCTAGAACACTCTATGCCGCGTGCCTGCCCTGGCGCGGTGCCCACCTCCTCTGGGGATGCTGCCTGGAGGACCCGAACCCCGGGCCCTGCAATGCTCTTCTCTATCTCCTTAGGAGAGACTCATTATACAGTGAATGTTTGTTTTGTCCCTTACCCTGCCGGACTCTTCGGCTTTTAGCATTTTGCTTCACATTTTCAGTGCTGTGTTATAGTGTTGTTGTTATTATTTTTAATGCTCAGCCTAAGTGTGCCTCTAAGGAGATCTTTGCCTTTTTATGACTCGAACTGAGAGCGCTCAATCATTCTGAATGGAGGATGATTTTAATTCCTTCAGTGTCCTGCCCAGGAATTTCAGAAGGATTCTGCATGTTCTCCTTCTGGCTTGTGAACGGTAGCGCCTGCGATTGATTCTAACCCCACAGCCCCAAACAACAAGCTCACCCCCAAAGACACTTCCGTTGCTTTGGCAGGGAAGATGGAGGTGGGAATTTGGACTACCAGCCCCTGCATCCTCAGGAATTTTCCTTTGCTAAGAAGGTATCTAAAGCAAGAATTTGAAGAAATATTTTTCCTACATTTTTTGGTTGTTTATAAAGATTCTAGTGGCTCTGCTGTTTTGTTTTTTGTTTTCCTGCTTGGTAGCCCCAGCTCATTAACTTTACAGTGATGAGAAATTTCAGGTCTAAGATAAAGAAAACCTGTAATACTTGTTTGTAGCAATGAAGCTGTTAAGAAAAGAGCAAAATGTATCTTGTTAAAATAGTCTTCCCCTCCCCTTATTATAAGCAGAATTGTTGAATGTGAGAACAAACCCAGACTGCTAATTTTAATGTAAACATGTTTCTCTTTTTCCTCCTAGCTTTTGCTTTGGTGTCTGAAGAGAGAAAGGAAAAGGTCAAGCCTTCCCAGGTACTTCCCTAGCTATCTAGTCTAAACACTCCCCGGACATTCTTTCAGATTTAATGAGAAATGTAAAGATTTTATCCTTAACAGTTAACATTCTTTTGCTGTTGTACAAATCGAGATATTGTTGAATATCTGTTTCTGTGTGTATATGTGCGTATGTGGATACTTGTGTGAGTGTTGTGAGTGTGGAGCCTTGTACGTTGTTCCTCGGGCTCAGTACGTGTGTGTGTGTGTGTGTGTGTGTGTGTGTGTGTGTGTGTGTGTAGTGTACTTGTGCGGTGTATGTGTGGGGGCATGTACATGTGTGTGTTTAGTTGTTTGCCCCAAACATGCATACGTGGAGGCCAGCAGAGGATGTCGGGTGTCCTGCTCTGTCACGATCCACCTTATTCCTTTGAGGTGGGGTCTCTCCCTGAACCTGGGGCGACCTCAGCGATCCTTCTGTCTCTACCCTTGACAGCTCCCAGGTTACAGGTGTCAAACCCACACCTGCATTTGTATATAGGTCCTGGGGATTCGAACTCAGGTCCCCAGGCTTGTGCAGCAAACAAGCACTCTAACCACAGAGCTGCCTCCTTCAGCCTTGCCTTGCCTTCGATACAGGCTCCTTCCTTGGCCTGGGTCTTGCTGGTTAGGCCGGCCATGCCGGCCAGCCCCAGGAATCTGCCTGTCTCCACTTCCCCAGCTCTGGGATGACAGCATGCGCCACCGGACCTGGCTTTTTATGTGGGTGCTGATGGTTGGATTCAGGTCCCCATGCCTGCGTGACAAGCCCTTTACCGACTGAACTGTCTCTCTGGCTGTCAGTATGGATTCTGAAGCCCGAACAGCAAGCTGTGAATACAGTTGATTGTTTTTGGTGTGTGTGGGCTCATGTGTGTTGTATGTGTGCTCACTTGCATGTGTGTGCATATGTGTGTGTGTTCCTCTGTCACTCTCCACCATAGAGACTGAGGCAAGGTCTCTCCCTGGACCCAGGACTCCCCTTTTCTGCTAGCCTGCCTAGTCAGCGTGCTCCAGGGGTGTTTGATTATTTCCTCCCACTCTGTACCCCAGCTTTTCTGATCTGGGGGGGGGTCTGTGCTCTGCCAGCTCCCCGCTTGCACCCTGCCCACCGAGCCATATGCTCAGCCCCAGAGTGTTTTGAAAACTCTGACTTAATAGTTCAGACAGACCGACTAGTTTCAGTCATTTTAGGAGAAAAGGTTTTGATACCAAGAGATCTTTGGGAAGCCCTACTTGGGTAGCTTTGTTTTGCCAAGTCTCAGGGTCTCCTGCCCTGGGCTTCATCTTCCAGTCTGTGAGAGGATGCTTGTGACAGGGGTGGGGAGAGTCCAAAACCTGACTACTGCTGCCTGGAAGATGGATCCATGTGGGAAGACATCCTGAGGACCAGATGAAGGACTCCACAGGTGACCAACTGCTGGATTCCTTGGACACTCAGAACCCGAAGCCAGGCTTGGGAGCTGGGCAGAGTGGGTCACACTTTTCCAAAATCTCTGAGCCTCCATTTTTGATCATTGGTGATGCTGGATAATTTCGTGTGTGTGTGTGTGTGTGTGTGTGTGTGTGTGTGTGTGTGTGTGTGTAAACCACTTGAGCTTTGCATGGGCTCAGTTTAACAGGTGAGCAAGAAACAATATTTAAAAACTGTGACTCATTTTGTTATGTTAATTAAGGCTCCATTGAGTCGACATTTCACTCCACAATTGGTATAAACTCTTTTGAATAGAATATTTCTTTGAGCAACAGAGCATTATCTAACTGTGCTATGGGATCCCTCCAAAGGGGAAATGATGCTAATAATTTCTTATCATGTTAGGACTCTTTAGGGCTAGTAAAAGCATTTGAACACATTTTATTTAATTTGATCTTCTCAATGACTCTGGTATTGCTAAGCAAAAAAATAGATATTCCCAGTTAAACAGAGGGAATTTGGCCTGAAAGCAATTATGTGATTTTACCAAGGACAAAGGATTATTAGAAGTTCAAGTTCAAATGTTCTGAGTCCTGTGTTTTCAGCCTGTGCTCCATTTTAATTATAACGTGTGTGTTTGATAGGATTGAGGCTTGCTCATAAAGAGTTTAATGTGCTATGCAAGGGTTATTAGCAGAGAATTAAAATTTTGTTTAATGAATTTAGAAATTATGCGTACTTAAAAACGATTTTTAAATTTTATTTCTATGTGTGTGAGTGTTTTGCCTATATGTATTTTCACCACATGTGTGCAAGTGCCCGTAGAGGCCAGAAGAGGGCATCAGATGCTCTGGAACTGGAGTTACAGGTGATTATGAGGTGTCATGTGGGTGCTGGGAACTGAAGCCTTGTCCTCTGCAAGAGCAGCCGGTGCTCTTAACTGCTGAGCCTCTCCTAGCACTTTTATGCAAACAACTTGCAAGCATCCCGTTTTGAATTGTCACTGTTCAGACCTTGAAGCCCAGGTAGAGGGGTTGACCTGGTCATGTCTGCATACCTGAGTTGGGAGCGGTGTGTGAGATGGACGTGCTAATAACAGATCTCTTTTTTGTCTGTCTAGTGGCTGATGTGCAGCCTTCACAGAGAGCACATTTTTTTTTTTGATTAATATTGATAGTCAGTGGAAGAAACTTGTGGCATCAGAGATCATAAAAGAAGCCCTGCACTTTCTTCCTTGGAAAGGCCTTTTCATGAGGGGAGCAGAAGACAGGATTTTAAATGTTCTGTCAATTCCTCCATTTAGCCCACTTTTCTTTCTCGAAGGGGAAATTACTCAAGACTATTTTGGTTCTGTTTCAATCCACCCAACTCAGCCGTTCCTTGGGTATTTTATTTTTACAGTTTACAAATTGAGTTGTTTGAAAAAGCTAATCATTTCCCTGGCTTTTGTGTCAGCCAGTCTGAGCTGCAGGGCTTAACAGCAAAGAAGAAGATATGGGATCCGGTTTGCTCTTCTCTGATGTCACCGAGCTGTGTGGTGGAAAGTCCGGCAGGTGTCCAGGGCTGTTGAAGTGACGCTGTCTGGAACCCCTGGCTCTGCCTGGGTGGTTTTCATCTTCCACGTTGCTGGAGGTGACTCTGGTTGTACATAAATGCGTGCTGTACTGATTGTTTTTCCAACGACCTCCAGGCTGGTGCTCTGAGGAGGAAGGGACTGGGAAGACCCAGGCTTTAGTCCTGGTTTTGTGGCCTGTGACTCGTGAGCCCTGGGAAATGGCTTCGTGTTTTCTGAGAGAAATGATGGTCTTGTTTGGAGAAGGGCAACATTAGACATGCCATCCTGTCCAGGGCTGTTGCTTCATCTAAACATTCTGTGTTCCCACAAACCACACAGCCGCAGCCGGTTCTGTGGCTTAACAAGAAGGGGCGCGGCGCCTCAGGCAGGGGACAGGGAGGGTCATGGTGGGAGCCGGTGGTGTCCTTGTGCCTGGCAAGGCTGAACTGAGAGTGGGAGGGGGTCTCCTGACCAGGTGTGGCCTCTTGATGTCTGCTGGTATGCCAACCCGGCTTGGAACAACACCTTCAGAGAAGGGGTTGAGCATCCCGTCTTAGTAGACTCTTCCCAAGTTAATAGTTTCATCAGGATTTCACGGTTGTTTACCCGGGGTCTGACAGAGCAGTGTCTGGCTGTGGCATCTTCTCTACTCAGTGGCCTTTCTACTCTGGAGGCAAGGGCAGTTTCATAAAATGCCGCCCATCAGGTCACATCCCTGTCTCCCGCTCTGTCTCTGCCTCATCACACGGTCCCTTTGGCATTCTTCGAGGACATTCCTCTTTGTGGCTTTGCCTTAGCTTTGAAGCGGCTCCAAATCTTGTTGGTCCAGGCTCACAACTGCATTTCTCATTTCAGCCTGTAAGAAAAATCGCATATTGGTAGTGTCTGATTGCCATAATTACAGCGTAGAGCTGCCAAAATGAAAAACGAGCAATTAGGAGGAAAGCCTCGTTCTGGTCTGAGGAGAAGGTGTTGGAAGTGGCAGGTTGAGTTGTTGACACTGAGCTTTGTCAGAGAAGTTGTGCATCTCCAGTGAGTTACTCAGGGTCAGAACAAGTTGTCTCTGTGCCTGTGTCTAGATTCGTGTGACCAGGGCTCAGCAGCCCTGAGGCACGCTTTCGTGCCCAAGAGGTCTAGTGACTGTGTGTGTTACTATAACAAAATGCCCGAGACTGGGTGATTTATAGAGAACTGGCGTTTATTTCTTTTAGTTCTAGAGGCTGGGGAGTCTAAGGTATAGGAGTGGAGGCCTTTTGTGCTTGAGTCATTCCATAGCAGAAAGCAGAGAAGGGCAAGGAGTATGTGCCAGAGGAAGAGAGGGCTGGACTTGAATTTATAACAGATCCACACTGCATAGTGAATTCACACCCACAATAGCACTGTGCATACATTACCTCATGAAGGTTCCATCTCAACACTGTAGAGTTGGGGGATGATCCCCTCCCCTCCCCTCCTCTCCCCTCCCCTCCCCGCCCCTCCCTGCCTGACTCCCTCCCTCTCTCCTCCCTCCCTCCCTCCTTCCTTCCTTCCTTTCTTTGTTTCACATGAGTGTTGTCTGTCTTGTGTATGTGTGCTCTGTGCTTGCAGTATGCATGACGTCCAGAAGAGGGCGTCAGATCCCTTGAAACTGGAGTTACAGATGGTTATAAGCTGCCATGTGGGTGCTGGGAACAGAACCTAGATCCTCTGCAAGAACAGCAAATGCTCTTAATAACTAGGTCATCTCTCTAGTCTCTAGGATGCCCCCCCCCCAAACGAGGTTTCTTTGTGTAACCCTGGCTGTCCTGGAACTCGCTCTATAGACCAGGCTGGCCTTGAACTCAGAGATCCGCCTGCCTCTGCCTCCCAAGTGCCACCACGCCTGGCTTGGGATGGCATTTTCAACACATGTTTTGAGAGACACAGTCAAGCCATAGCAGTGGCCACCATCTGTCCTCCTCTAAGGCTGTTTGTGGGAACCTTAGGGGTGCTTCTCAGGCAAGAAAGACTGTGTTAGCATTCCTTTTAAAAATGATTGACTTATTTTTATTTTATGTGCATTGGTATTTTGCCTGGATGTATATCTATGTGAGAATGTCAAATCTCCTGGAGCTGGTGTTACAGACAGTTATGAGCTGCCATGTGGGTGCTAGGAATTGAACCCAGGTCCTCTGGAAGAGCTGCCAGTGTTCTTAACTGCTGAGCCATCTCTCCAGCCCATGTGTTAACATTCTTTATAACATTGTGTCTTAGTTACTTTTCTGTTGTGATGACAAAACACCATGATCAAGGCAACTTACGAAGGAAAGCATTTAATTTGGGGCTTATGGTTCCAGAGTCCATGACCATCATCGTGGGTAGCACAGCAGCAGCCAGGCTGGTGTGGTGGTGGACAAGTAGCTGAGAGCCTACATCTGATCCACCAGCACCAGTCAGAGAGACACTAGGAAGGAGTTTTGAAACCTCGAAGTCCATCCACAGTGACTCACTTCTTCCAACAAGGCCACATCTCATGATCCTTCCCAGCAGTTCCACCAGCTGGTGACCAAGCTTTCAAATATATGAGCCTGTGGGGACCATTCTCATTCAAACCACCGCACATCATGTAAAGACAGTAGCTGGGAGATCTTTCATCCTGAGGAGAGCACTGCCAGCATTTGGACTATGTCTGACATTCTTATAGTGTTTTAGAGTTGACAAGGTCTTTAAAATTAACTTCTCCCCAAATGCCATTTTATACAGGGGGAATAAGCTTTTAACCCAAATAAATGACTTGCCTAAGATCACATACAGAGGATATAGCCTAAGCTGGAGAGATGGCTCAGGGGTTAAGAGCACTGGCTGCTCTTGCAGAGAACCTGACTTTGATTCCCAGTACCTACATGGTAGCTCACAAACATCTATTAATTCCAGGTCTAGGGGATCCAACGCCCTCTTCTGGTCTCAGTGGGTACTGCACACACATGGTGCACATACATGCAAGCAAACACTCACGCACATAAAATAGGCACAACTTTGTGGCAGAACTTCTGGAGCAATGCAGATGCTCATGGTTCCTGCTTTGCCCTCTTCTGTTCTAGCCTCCTTACTTTAGGGAAGCATTTAGCCCCATCCTCAAGTCCTGGCACCATGTGTTAGCCCAGATGATTTGTCTTTATTCACGGTGTTGCTAGTTCAGTTAAATGATGGAATTCATCTTTGTCTCTTTCATTTTAAATACAGGATTTGGAGCAGAGTAGTCTATCAAGGAAACATGGCGTAGGTAAGCAATGCACTTGTATTATTTTTACATATGTGTGGTGTGGTGAGTGTGTATATGTATATTTGCATGTGTATGGGTGCACGTGTGTGCAAATGTGTAGGCATGTGTGTGTGCCTATGATGGAGGCCATCCTGTGTCTTTCTCATTTGCTGTGCATTTTATGTGCTAAAGCAGAGTCTCTCCCTGAACTGCTAGCTCATCAATTTGGTAAGCCTCGTCGTCGTCATGGGCTATCTTGCCGCAGGCTTTTCTGTCTGCCCAATGAGTCTGGTTTTTATGTGTTTTTTGGGGATCCAAACCCAAGGCCCTGTGCTGTGCGGACAGCCCTTAATCCACAGATTTTTTTTTTTTATTAGCCAAAGGACATACTTTATTAGCTCCTGGGTTCTAGTTCTCTGTCTGCTGTACAGTTTTGGTACCCTGTAGTATCCAGTCTGGTGGGCAGCAGTGAGACCCACTTTGCAAGCGGCAGGAGCATCTCTTCAGATAGTGGAGGGTTTGCCAATGTGCTGGAGGTTACCACCTCCAAAGGGACGCTCCACAGGATTCCTGGCCACATCCTGTGCATGCGGCCAGCGGTTCCTCTTGGCGTTGTGCTTGTGGTAGGCACGGCCAGCCTTTAAGGTGGGTCTGTCAGCTCTGCCCCGACCACCCATCACACCGACAACAGCGCTGTTGGCCGAGGGAATGACCGTGGACTCTGACGGCGGCTTCACTTGGATCTTCCTGGTCTCCAGGCTGTGGGAGATGATGTAGCATAGTTCCTGGTGGCTCGTGCCAGCTTGCCCCTGTCCCCAGGCTTGTCCTCCAGACGACACACGATGGGTACCCTCAGGCTTGGTGTCCACGGGTAAAACATGGCTGATATTCAGCTGGGCCTTCCCGCTGCAGTTCACAAACTGTCCAGTGTGGATTCCCTCCGTGGCGATGAGCAGCTCAGTCCGCTTCATAAATCGGTAGGGATCGCGAAAGGCCACTTTCCTGCGGGGAGCACTGCGACAACCAGGGTCGTGAATGATATCCTTTACAATGCCCTTAATATAGCCGTGCCACTCAGCGAAGTCCACAGCACGCAGGCGCACGGCGCCCTTATGGTGTTTCATGTGCGCGGAACACGGAACCGGTGTCTTTCCGCTGTCCTCGGATCACGTGACCCATGGCGGTCTGCCAACAAGCACAACTGAAAAGAGGGATTTTAAAAAAAAAAATTTTTTTAAGATATGGACTCACTATGTAGTTCTGGCTGGCCTCGAACTCACGAAGATCCAGCTGTTTCTGCTTCCTGAGTGCAAGGATTGAAAGTGTGCGCCACCATCCCCATCCCCAGCAAGGAATGTTTAAAACCTGTATTTATTGTAAATTATAGTCTAGCGAAGTTAATTTTCCTTTTTGATAGCACTTATGAGGAATATTTTGTTGTTTGTGGCTAGCCTGAAGCTTGTCATCATGAAGACCTAGGGAGAGCATAGGAGAGCCGTTTTCAGAGCGGCATATGGCTTCCGATTCGAGTGAAGTACTTACTGTGGCATCCATTTATTGCTCACTCCTGGAGGAGAGACCCTGTCGATCATTGCCAGCTCTGAACATGTTTGCTGAAGGCCAGCTGTAGTGAGTTTAGAGAAACAGCAGCCTCAATGTACAGGAAAGAGGGGACTCACCTCTCACAGCTCTGTCCCCTGGGGAAGCGGAGAGTCAGGTGGCCGGGTGGCATTGCCAGTGAAGGCTACGGAGATCAGCTCTGGGCTCTGGCCTCAGCCCGAGTGTGACTCACTCGAGGGAACACTCAGGTCAGATGCAGAAAACATTTCTTACTTCAGATGTATAGAACGGCAGGAATGTAAGCATGTACACTCTTTCCAGCAACAGACTAGATTAATCTGGGGTGGGTTGGGGCCAAGGAGCATGTCAGTCGCCTGCCATTCATTATCCAACATTCCTTTTCCCTTCAGCCCCACCATCCAGACCCAGATAACTCTACCAAATGGATCCTGTCCCCAGGACAGTTTCTTTAGTCCCATTTTGGAAAGACCTCGATGCCTTAGGATTTACTTGGCTCCTGGTACCATTTCCAGCTTGAAGACAGTTAGTCCACAGTCCAAGCATCTAACCCCATGTATAAATCCCTCATGATCTGGCTTGGCTGGGCCCGCCTACCCTCGAACTTCATCACCTGGGCGCCATAAATCTTTTTGCAGAATGCTCCCAGACTCCTGCGGGCATTGGGATGCCCCAGAGCCTACCGTGGGCTCTATGGTAACCCCACTTCTTCCTCTGCTACTGTCCTCCTGGAAGTGTGCAGAAAGCTGCAGCCCTCCCAGAGAAATTCAGCAGATCCTCTGTGGCCCGGCCCCACTGCCCGCCCCTCTCCCACAGCAACCCGTGATCGACTCTATCCGGTTTGGTGTTTCCAGGCCCAGGCACTGGACTGGGCTCCGATGCCTCTGCACTGCTCCTGTGTTTCTGACTCTGAGCAGGTGACCGACGATGTTTGCAGACCGAGTGTGTAGCGTACCTAATTGTAGTCCACAGAAAAGGAAGGGCCAGTCTGATCTCAGCTATGTGAAAAAGTGAAGGACGAACAGGACTCACGCAATGAAGATGCCTGAAAGGGGAAGAACTGGCTTTTGTTTTTCTAGAAGAGCATTTTCCTCGCACGGAGGATCTGTTGTCTTTGTGAGAAGAACAGTGGGAGCTTTGCCGCACCGGCAGAGGCAGCAGGTCTTGCTTACGGTGGCGAGCCTAGGATGAGCCTTTTGACAGGTGGATTGCTGTAGTGCAGAATTTATTAGGAAATAATCTGGATTTATGAGATGCTGTAAGGATTACTGCAAAGAATGCCTGCATATCCACCACCCAGGTTAAGAAGTAAAACATTACTGAGAGAGCCGAAAGCTTTAGTCCTTATCCTCAGTTACGTGTATCACTTGTGGAGTCTTTGACACTTTTAAGTGACATACACATAGTGTGTATACTGGGGAGTTTTTATTGTAAATTTTACACAAACCAGAGATACCCAGAGAGAGGAAGGATCAGTTGAAGAATGGCCGTCATCATCTTGGCTCATGGGCATGTCTGTGGGGCATTTTCTTGACCCCTAACTGATGGAGGAGGGTCTTGCCCACTGTGAGCGGTGCCATGACTAGGCAGGTGGGCCTGGGCTGTACGTGAAACTGCCCTGAACAAGCCAGAGAGAGCAAGCCACTAAGCAGCGTCCCTCCATGGTCTCTCCATCAGTTCCTGCCTCCAGGTTCCTGCCTTGGCGTCCCTGGGTGATGGTGTAACCTGTAAGCCAAATTAACCCTTTCCTCCACAAGTTGTTTTTATGCATGGTGTTTATCACAGCAGTGGAGTAAATTAGAACAGTTAGCTACTTGATGTATATTTCGGCTTATATTTTACAAATTACTGATTTATACAGTTTTTTCCTTCTTTTTTTTTTGTATCTTGGCAGTATTACAGCATTTTCCCTATGAGATTTATCTAGAGTGTCTGGATTTATACATGTTGTCATAGTTACTGTTTTCATTAATTAGTAATAGTTAGCCCATGCTAATCAATTTTTATTGCTGATTTATATATATTACTGGTAGATAGTCAGGTTGCTTCCATTTTTTTCTTTCCACATGCTTTCTTAAGGTTGACTAAAAGGGTCACTAAGAAAAATACACCTTCAATTTAGTTAAAATTTGAAAGCAAATCCCCTAAGCTTATTTATTCCATTCCCTTTTTTTTAGTATTTTAAAATCATTTATTTTATGTGCATGAGTGTTTTGCCTACATGTATGTCTGTGCACCATGTGTGTTTAGTACCTACAGAGGCCAGAAGAGGGGTCAAATCCCTCAGAACTAGAGTTATTGATGTTTTTGAGCTCTATGTGGGTGCTGAGAAATGAACTCAGGTCCTCTGCAAGAGTTACAAGTGCTCTTAACCACTGGCCATCTCTCCAGCCCCTATTCTGTGCTTAATAAAAAGCCATCTTTACAACTTGGCTTTGGTAGGTAAGTTTATATCGGTTGTTCTCAACCTGTGGGTCACGACCCCTTTGGGCAAATGACCCTTTCATGGGGGTCTCATAGCAGATATCCTTCATATCAGATATTTACATAACAATTCATAACAGTAGCAGAAGCAATGAAATAATTTTGTGGTTGTGGGTCACCAAAACATGTATTAAAAGGTTACAGCATTAGGAAGGTTGAGAACCACTGGTTTATATTACTGCTTCAGGTGAAACAGATCACAGATAATGTTTTGCCTGAGATAGAAGACTCCCCTTGTAAACCTTACCCCTGCGCCCACTGTATGCAGCCTGGAAGCCAGCTTAAAATAGAGTATATCCGTGAAATGTTCCTGTTCATGTAGGTAAGGAAAGGAGATAGGCCATATCCAGTAGGTTGCCCAGAATTTCCTTTTAAAATTTTTATTGAGTTTTATTTAACCAAAGAGTATTTCTGATTATTTTTAGGACCTAGATGGCTCACTGTGGAGCTATCAGTTGTGTGAGTGTTTGGACAAGTGAGTAAATGAATGGAGCACTGGAACCGAATGGAACGATTAGACGTAACAGGGCACAGTTAAAGTCCCATTGGCATCCTTGAGCTGAAGTGTTAAAGATGGAGACCTCTGGTGGGAGGGAGGTCCTCATATCGATTTGCTGTAGACCTGGCTGGAGGCCACCAATGACGTCTCACCGTACCTTGGGCTGTTGTCTTGGCTCTGCTTCTTTATTACAAGTTCAGGATCTGAGGTGGCCTGATGTGCTTCTCTGAGACGTGACCTGGGCAGCAGCCACACCGGTTTGGGGGGTTCCCCCAGAGAGTTGGGGACTTGCTCCTCGCTCACTGTTGTGGAAGGCTGGCTGTATTGAGGTGGGTCCTGCCGTCCGTCAGCGTGCCCGGGGCACAGTCTTCTCTGCGAGGCTTGCCGCCTGCTCCTGCTTCTGTGGGATAGTTGTGGCTGGTTTCCTGGAGATAACACCCAGTCCTGGCTAGGTGCCTTGCGAACTGGGGTAGGGATTATTGCGTTGCTTATTTGAAAATCCTTGTGACCTTATGGGGCGTGGACAGCCGCTTTTAAGTGTTGCTGTAAAAGGTCATCCAGAACATTCTGGAAATACTGCATATGAGTTTGCTAAGGCTGCTGTAGTTTAGATATGACGCGGTCTCTCCAAAACGGTATGTTGAAGGCTTGGTCACCAGCCCACGGCACCATCAGGAAATGATGACACTTTGAAGAGGGGAGAAGCTGGGTGACTGGGACCAGGTCCTTGAAGGGGATCCTGGGGTCCAGGCTTCTTCCTGCCTTTCTTTGTTTTCTAGGCTTCAGGGAGGTGAATAGGCCCTGTTTGTCCCTTTTGTCCCCCTGTGACCACGGTCCCTGGCAGGAACAATTTATAGGAGGGAAGGTTTATCTGGGCTCCCGATTTCAGAGCAGTTCAGTCAGACAGGTGGGGGAGTTCTTAGTGGTGGGACTATGTAGCGTCTCCCCAGATCACAGCCAATCCGGAAGCAGAATATGAGCCAGGAGGCAGTGACCTACTCTGCAGGCAGACTCAGTATGATGGTTAAGGTTCCACAGCCTCTCACAATAGCAGCGGCAGCTGTGACCAAGCTTTCCAAATGAGCCTGTGAGGGACATTTCAAATCTGAACCACAGTGGGCACCATGCACCACACATTCCCTTCCATGACACACTGTGCCGGGGTCCCGAAAACAATGAGGCCGAGAAACCATGTGTGGGGACCACCAAAACTTAAGCCAAAGGAAACTTTTGCTTCCTATAAATAGATTGTGTTGGTCTTATGTAACAAAATGGTTTGTTTTGTCAGAAGTTTGGAGGCTAAAAGCTATGGTGAAGCTGCCTGTAGGGTTGGCTCCTGAGGGCGATGGGGGAAGACCTTCTCCAGGCTCTTTCTTGGCTTACACTGTGTTTTCACACCATCTTTACAATGTGGGTTTGAGTGTCCAGTTCCCCTCCTCTAAGGGTTAGGAGTAGTCATACTGGGTTAGGAGCCTCTGTCATGACCTCACTTTAGCCTGATGACTCTGGAAGACCCAACTCCAAACAGGATCGTGTTCTGAGGACCAGAACTCAGCACATGCCTTTTGGAGGGGGCACAGTTCACCCCATAGCACAGCGTAGGGTTATGTTGGGACCTTTGGGAAGTCACTGGGCCGTGTGGCAGGTTTGTTTTGCAGACACAGGGGGAAAGGTAGTTTGTTCCCTAAGGCGTGGTGTAATACGGTGAGCTTGTTTGCTTGACACTTCTAGGAAGGAATTTTTGGATGTTGCTTTAAAGGTAGAGAAGATAGTGGTTCTCGAGTTATATAAATAAAAATTTCTGGGATTGGTGAAGTGACTCAATGGTTAAGACCACTGGCTGCTCTTACAGAAGACCTGGGTTCAGTTCTCAGCACCCACATGGCAGCTCACAGCTGCTGTAATTCCAGTTCCAGGAGATCTGACGCCCCCTTCTGGCCTCCACAGGCATTGCATGCACATGGTACACATACACACATGCAGGCGAACACTTCTACACATACAATTTTTAAAAGTGTACCATTTCCCCTTCAGAGCTTGGTGCTTGAATGTTTGCCTTAAAACTGTGCGCTTATTCTTACGTTCATTTTAATCACTGTCAAAAAAAAAACAACTTGGAAACTTTTTGTTTGTTTGTTTTAGACTTAAAAGAAATTGTGTTTGTCATCCAGAGTCAAAGTAATTCTTTTCATGCCAAGAGGGCGGAAGAGCTGAGAAGGGACATCTTAAAGCAGGCAGCAAATCTGACACAGGTATGTGGAGAAGACCCGGGGTGGCTAGGGGTCGTTGCGTATGTACTGAGATATTTATGTTTCCCCGAATCTGTAGAAAATCATTTTTATTTAGGTGAGAATAACTCTCTGGACTCATCGTACTAATTTAATATTGAATATTGCTGAACACGTTCTCTCATAGTATATGTATGTTTAATTACAGGAGTTACATAATTTTGTAGGAGTACCATGGCTTTGTCATGACAGAATAAAATGGGAGAAATAACGTTTTAAAAGAACTAGAGCTAATTAACATGCAAACTCTTGGCAACAAGTTCTAAGGCAATTTTCATGTTGAAATAACATTTTCATTAATCTTACTGTAGCGCCCTCTCTATGAGGCTCTTCCTGTGTTTTTCTTTTTTAATTGGATGTTATTAATTGAATCTTTGATCTGACTTATAGTGTAATATCCCAGGATTATGGAGAGAAAAATATGCACACAGCTACATTTTAATGGCATTTGAAAGAGGTGTGAACTGAATCTCAGGCTGTTCTGAATAATGTAGGTGGTTTGAACAGGCTCCGCCTTCTCGTAGGTCATTCCCTTTAATTGGTGAGGGCATAGTGCAAGCCTCCTAGTGGGTATCTCAAGCCACAGAGGGACCCGGATTCTATTTGCCGTGTTCCTCCCTGGCACACCTGTATTACCTAGATAAAATTAATTTATAAACTAAGCACGATAAGAGATTAGCGGTATCTAAAAGCAGAGTAATTAGAACAGTGTATTGTAATGGAGCTGTCAGCACATTACCATGATGCTTTGGACAGCACCAGGGGGCGCTTGAATGATAGCGGTCAGCTCTGCCTGACAGGACTGGTCGTCACCAGTGGGTGAGTATAAACTGAGGCTGTGCTGGACACAGGCCTGTTGGGTGTCCTGGCAGGGCATTGAGACGGCACGCTATTTTACCGGATGTCTCAGAATAGCACGTAGTTTTAAGGATGACAGTTACGTATGATGTGTTCCACGGTTTTTCAATTGCAGTTGACTTGAGACTGAAGATAAGGAAAGGGGTCTGCTGTCCTGTCTGTAGATGCTTTCTTCTTTTCCTCGCTCCCCTGCCTCCTTCTCCACTTCCTCCTCCTCCCCTTCTTCTTCCCTTTTCCTCCCTTCCTTCTTCTTCTCTTCCTCTTTCTATTTCTTCTCCTTCTCCCTCCTTTGAGACAGGATCGCACTATGTAGCCCTGACTGGCTTGGAACTTGTTATATAGGTCAGGCTGGCCTTGAACTCACAGAGCTCTGCATGCCTCTGCCTCCTGGGTGCTGGAATTAAAGGCGTGCATCAACATGGCTGGCAGACATTTTCTTCTCTAAGAAGCCCAGAAACACAGGCACACAGACGCACACACAGACGCACACAGACACACAGACACACAGACACACACACAGACACACAGACACACACACAGACGCACACAGACACACAGACACAGACACACACACACACACACACCCCTCCAAGTCCCTCTCTCTGCCTCAGTTGCCTTGGCTCTCAAGACCGCCCATCTGTACTCTCCCTTGCTTGTCCTCTCTGTTCCACTAGAGGTGCTGATGAGAGGCGGTGTCGGAAGCCATGGGGAGGAGAAGGGAACACTTTTGGGTTCAGGCAACCATGAACTGAATAAACTCCCCCAGTGAGAGAGACCTTGTATGGTTAGTGATCGCTTACTCCCGTGGGAACCGTGGGCACACTTTTCCTTGTGTCCTGCTCTCAGAAATACCTTCCATCTCTCAGAAGCAGTGTTTATATGATATCTCACTGTTTAAATGGTGCTGTAGTTCTTGTCAGTAATATGGATGCTACCCTGCGCCAACTAAGCCTAGGTGATTGAATTCACTCCGTATCTTCTCTTCTGTACGGTCACTCCCACCCTTTTGTTTTTTCTCATGTCCTGGTGTGTGTGTGTGTGTGTGTGTGTGTGTGTGTGTGTGTGTGTGTGTGTGTGTGTGTGTATGTGTGTGTGCGCATGTGCACCTGACAGTCTCCCTGGCACTTCATGGCGGGTAGTGTTCCTGGGACTTGGCTCATCGTGATGATGAGACCTCTGGGTACCTTTTGATGGGAAGCAATAGAAATTATAAAGTGTTCCTTTTTTATATATAAAAAAAGTGATGCATATATATATGGAAGGTGCTGCTTGGGACTGGCTTGCCTGTTTTCTTTGGGGCTTTGGTTACTGAATACTTAACACTGATTCTAGGCTCTGGGGGAGGGTGGCTTGAGGCTCCCACCAAAGCCGGACCCATCAGTTGTGATTGGGAATGGAAATGTGCCCCTTTGTGTCTCCTGTGGTTTGGTTTGGTGTCTGGGGATTAGCATCAGCTTCCTGCACATTCGACAGGTACGAGCTCTACGCTGAACTTCACTCCCAGCTCCTCCCGAGAGAGGGGGTGGATCCAGAACAGTGGTGACCATCAACAGTTCCTGTGTGTGTGTATGTGTGTAGGTGTATATACATATGTGTGTATATATATACATGTGTGTATATGTATATGTGTGTGTATATATGTGTATATATATGTATATATATGTGCATATAAACAGGTGTGTGTATATGTGTGCATGCATGCACACTGGGGCCTGTGCATGTGTGTAGGCCAGCAGACAACCTTGGTGTAGTTCTTAAGCAAGCCATCCCCCACTTCCCTCCCTCCCTCCCTCCCTCCCTCCCTCCCTCCCTCACCCTTCCTTCTTTCCTTCCTTCCTTCCTTCTTTCCTTCCTTCCTTCCTTCCTTCCTTCCTTCCCTTCCCTCTTTCCTTCCCTTCCCTTCCCTTCCCTCCCCTCTCCTCCCCTCTCCCCTCCCTCCCTCCCTCCTCTGTCTGTCTGTCTGTCTGTCTCTCTCTCGTGCACACACGGGTGCAGTGGTGGGGAGAGCTGCCTTCCGAGCCCTGAGATGACAAGCAGGTGCCACCAGGCCTGGAGTCTCTGCACCGCCTTGGCCCACAGCTGCCAGTCCTGGCCCCACGTCTGTATCGCATACAAACCCGTTGGGTCTTTCCAGTGTGCGCTCTTACTCGCTACCTGTTTGACGTCCTCTTCCACAGATTTTGAAAGCAGAGCACAGGCTGAATCCCGTCAACTTTTGATTACTCAGAACCAGGCTGTGTTTGTGTGGCTCCCCCCGGCTCCCCCAAATTCATTCTCTTCTCTGAGTTACTTTCTTTTCTGTTGTAATAAATGTTTCTTTTCTTTTAAAAAAAATTTAAAAAGATTCATTTATTTGGCTTTATGTGTATGAGTATTTTTTGTCTGTGTGTCTGTGCATCAGATGTACATGGTGAAGAGGCCGGAAGAGGGCATCAGATCCCCTGAACTGGAGTCACAGACAGTTGTGGGCTGCCATGTGGGTGCTGGGAACCGAGCCTAGGTCCTCTGCAAGAGCAGCCAGTGCACTTAATGGCTGAGCCACCTCTCCAGCCCACAATGAATATCTCAAGGGCACAGTTCAGTCACATCAGGTATATTCCTGTTGGCAGTACATCTCCAGAGCTCCTTTACTCCATAAAACCAATACTGTGTACCTCTAAACAGCTCCCTGCTCCCCCTTTCCTGTAGCCCTCAGTAACTTTCATTTAACTTCCAGTCTCTCAATCCGACTGCTGTGGACGTCCTAGACGGGAGGGGGGGAGTCCTGGAATAATCATCCTTGGGGACTCGCTTGTTTCATTTCATCGTGTTTTTAAGGTTTCTTTGTTCAAAAAGAATGGCTGGGAGCTGGAGAGATGGCTCAGTGGTTAAGAGCACTGGCTGCTCTTTCAGAGGACCTGGGTTTGGTTTCCAGCACCCAAATGGAGGCTCACAGCCATCTGTAACTCCAGTCCCAGGGGATCTGACACCTACTTCTGGCCTCTGTGGGCACCACATGTATGTGATTCATAGATACACAGGCAGGAAAAGCACACATATATGTAAAAATAAAATGAAGAAAAAAATAGCTGTTAGTACTTTCGTTCAGGCTAGTGACCTCAGTCCAGTCTGATAGAAACTTCCATCTGTAGATAACCTTGTTGCTCCTGTTCTGACTGGCATCCCACCAAGGCCTCTTCATGGCACCTCTTGTCCTGGTGTCTGTCTGTCGTATGTTCAGATACCAGAGCAAGGCAGGACCCACTTCTACTTTTCTTGGATGCACCCTCTACCCCGTACCTACTGGAGTGCCAAATACAATATTAGAGACAGTGTTTCTATTGATGTATTGTCTCAACTTTTGGAAGCATCTCTGTTTGTCCGAGGCGATTGTCTCGTTACATCCTCAGTGAGTTAGGACACTGGTTGCCACTAGGTGGCGATATTGGTTTTACATGTAAAAAGATGTAGTTAAGTAATGCCATTAAGTGGGGTGGGGCGGTGTTTAATTTTCGTGATAGTAAATAGAGTCTAAAGTGATAAAGAGACCCCCCTTCTGATTATAAGATCAACTGTTACTGTTACCCTGACATTACATCCCCGGGTGGAGCTCGGAGGGCTAAATAGAGAGGCCGGATCTGTAGTGCTCAGACTTAATTTGCTGAGGAGCGTTGGAGTGCGCTGTTTGCCTTAGGCAGGTTCAGATGTGGATTAACAAGGCTTTTGTCAGTCAAAAGATTGCAGAATTTGCAGCTCTGCTTAGTTCTGGATCTTTCCCTCTTATGTAGCTTTTTATCTCTCATACGGGATTAAAACTTTGGTTTTAATTCCACGAATGGCAATTCAGAGGTTTAAAAATAGTTGACAGCTAGTCCTGGGTCTGTAGGCAGTTCTTGGGGGTGGGTGGGGGGCAGCGATGAGATGCTTTGCCTTGGGACTCTATGAGCACTTGAGAAAGGTCATTTTCTGAGAATTAATTGCTGAGCTGTGCCAACAGAGCGAGGAAACGTCGCCTTATAAAGCAGGAGCGCTCCCTAGTTGAAATCAAACTGGAAACTGTTTCAGGGAATTGACATACTTTTGGGAAAGTGTTGACAGCTTTGCCTGCCTCGGAGCTGTGATGGGGA